AAAGATGCGGCTGTTCAGCCGGATGAAGTAGTCGTTTCAGGAGGACATAGTGCAACTACAACCGGATATAGAGATGACAATGTTATGATGGTGGCGATAAGGGAACATATACGATTCGCGACGTTACAGAAGCACTTTACAGGTGGCGGTGATTTTATGGATCTCAGGCTCAATAGTCCCATGTGAAGGATAGGGGATAAGATGGATGATCTGGCATATCATCCAATGGAATGGGATATTCTCGAGGAAGCAGTGACAGCATCTGAATACCACAAATACTATAAGCAGTTGAAGGAAAAGGTGATGAATACGAACTTTAAAATGCCCACACACCCAAAGTGTGCCATAGTTGGGTACAGAAAGTAAGGGCATATCAGATCCAGTATGGCGCTGATCCACAAAGTGTGGGTTTGCATGTCGTGGAGTTAGCCAACGCAAAATGGTTTGTGACCACACAACTAGATTTAGTGATGCCAACTTTCGAGACATGGAAGGACAAGGATCCTAAGAATCAACTAGTGATTGAAAGATGCAATGAAATGTTCATATCCTACGAGTACGTAGTATATGTAAGTTCCATTCGTATGGGCAATGGAACAGTGAAGTACACGGAAGAGCTATGTACACGTCTAGGGTCGAATGCTAGTAAGATGTCAGATTCGAGGCTGAAGCATGATACGAATAACATATGTGTTGAGTTAACCAAGGGTATGCAGTCGTAAATGCATGATAGACTTTATGAGGGTCACAAAGACAAACACTGAGACATGGGTCATCGACTATGAATTCGGGCTGCATGGACCGAAAGAATGTTCATACGGCTACATATACAGAAAAATAATTTTGAGCATGCATCCGGGCGGCATATACAATATAAACAATTTGACCATGCATCCGGGCTGCATACACAATACATAAAAATAGACCATGCATCCGGGGTGCATATATAATAATTAAAAATCGACCATGTATCCGGGCTGCGTGGTCAAATCACGAAAACCCAAAACCCTAAAAACATATATATATATAATAGTATGAGAAAATCGTAAAAACACAAGTATTTGATGTATATGAACAAAATGTCCTTAAAAATGAACCCTAAATTTAAAATAATAAAATAATGTAGCGTCTTGCGCTCTTTCGGCCTGTCAAAAGAGCTCGGTCGGCGCCCCAGGTGCTCTCAATTTTTATCTCAATTTTTAGGGGTTTTACTGCACCTCAAATCATATACTCATCGACTTTTCATATACTCTAGGGTTTTCGGTAAAGAGTTCAAAGCATTTCTCATCACCTTCTCAATTCTCATGGCAATGCGACTTGGGGGGATATGGTAAACATACTTGCACATCCCGAGGACGGATTATTATACTCTGATGAAGGATTGCTGGAAGTTCAGGTACAGCCTAAACATTTAGCGAAAATGCCCCACAATCAATGGAGGATCGTCGATGCTACAATGACATTTGTTTGAGGAGTTCGGTATGAAAAAAAAATATTAATTATTCCGACCATGCATCCGGGCTACATATACAAAAAATATTTTCGACTATGCATCCGGGCTGCGTATACCAAAAAATAATTTCGACTATGCATCGAGTTGACCAAGGATATGTAGTGGTGGATGCATGGTAACATCTTTAAGGCTACGAAGACAAACACTGAGACATGGTTACTCAGATTCGTGAGCCTTAAAAATAATACCATGCATTCACCAGTACATACCCTTGGTGCTTAGTATGCAGGAAAATTGTATTTTAAACCTGAAAAATATATATAGGGTTTATTCAGTTTGTTCGACCATGCATCCGGGCTGGATGTACCGAAAAATAAATTCGACCGTGCATCCGGGCTAATTACAAAAAAATTAAAAATTTCGACTATGCATCCGGGCTGCATACACACAAAAAAAATCCGACATGCATCCGGGCTAAATATACAAAAAAAAAATCGGCTATGCATCCGGGCTGCATGCGCTGGTAAGATTTGAGGCCGCATTATCTCTGCGAAATTGTCAATCGAGCATTAAATGGTCATAGTCAGTTCGTCTTTTGAAATCATCCAGAGGAGTGAGTCAAATAGGACTTGAATGTCCTTTGCCCATTGCATGATGCCAGGTTCATTATCACCCTTAGAGCATACAGCAATTTCGTCTCTAACGTATCCGATGAAAACGTCATCTTGTTTTGGAACCTTATTGATAAAACCGTCGAACGTATCGAAATGTTCCTGAAACACTATAGTCCTGTTGAATATCAGAGAAGTCCTACGTTCCTTCAGGCCAACGACGTGCACCATGTGGTCCGGGTTGGTCACTAAACGATTACATTGTGGTTACATATACAGAAATTTTATTATCGATACACATAATTCAGGTTTAGATGACCTTGAAGGAAACGCTACACACGTTAATCAAGAAGTGGCATATCTTTCACAATGAGAAATCGATTAAAGTTTAGTCCTGGGAGAGATTATTGTCAGGCGATGGTACGATTTGAGGCTACATTAACTCTGCGAAATTGGGTTTCAATTTATGTCTCAATTTGTAGGGGTTTTACTGCACCTCAAATCAAATACTCATGGATTTTCATATACTCTAAAAAAATAAGTATATGAACATTATTTCGACCATGCATCCGGGCTGCATGTACATATTTAAAATAAAACTATATATGCAACCAGGATGCATAGTTATATATA